AAAAATGAGGGAAGAGGTAACAAGTTTGACAAAAAATGTACTTATTACCTTACGTAACTGTAACCCCTGTATATCACCTTGACAACAAAAGAAACTTAAAAAAATACCTAGAAATAAATTTAACTAAAGAGATGAAAGATCTGTACTCTGAAAATAATAAAGGATTCATAAAAGCAATTGAAAAAGGTAAATAAATGGAAAAATATATTCATGAAATAGAATTAATACTATTAAATGAAATGATAATACTGAGCTGGAGCTATAGGCTCAGTTAGAGAGCCCTTTCCTTGCATGTGTGAAGCCCTGAGTTCCACCCCCAGTACAGCCACAAAATATAAAAAGCCATACTGCTCCGAAGATAAATACTGTGTGATCTTACATGTGGAATCTAAAAACAATTGAACTTGGAAAACAATAGGTTGGTGGTTACTAGAGGTTAGAAAGTTAGGGAAGATGTTGGTCAGTAGGTATGTACTTAGAGTTAAAGATGAATAAGTTCTGAAGACTTAATGTTCGTCATAGTGATGTACACTTGAAAGTTGCTAAGATTTTAGATGCTCTTTGCACAAAAAGAAAAGGTAAGTATATGAGGTAATGAATAAATTTGCTTCACTAGAGTAATAATTTCACTATCAAAGCATCATGTTCTATATCTTAAATATAGACAGTAATTTTTTATGCCTGTAGCAAGGTATGAATTGAAATACTCTTTTGCCTGAGCCATACCTCAGTCCAACTTTTAGCTAGTTATAATGAAGATGAACTCTGGTGAACTTATCTGCCTAAGCTTGTTCCAACAATCTGTCCTCTAGATCTCAGCTTCCTGAGTAGCTAGCATTACAGGTGTGTGCCGCCAGCACCCAGCAACAATAGCTTCTTTAAAATTAAATGTTTTGCCAGGCATCGGTGGCTCATGCCTGTAATCCTAACTACTCAGGAGGCAGAGATCTGAGGATCACAGTTCAAAGCCAGCCCAGGGAGGAAAGTCCAAAGACTCTTACCTCCAATTAACCACCAGAAAACCAAAAGTGGCATTGTGGCTCAAATGGTAGAGTGCTTGTCTTGAGCTTAAGAGCTGAGGGAGAGTGCCCAGGCCCAGAGTTTAGGCCCCACGCTGACCAAAAAAAGAAAAGCACTTAGTAATACTATTTTAATAACTCATGGTCTTAATTGAATATTTACTATGGGCTAGGCTTTATACTAAGGCTTTATATTCATCACCATATTTAGTAAGATAGATCGTATGATATCTACTGTAAGAGATGAAGAACCTGAAGACTAGATTGGTGAAGCACTTTATTTAATGTACGATTTTGTTTCAAATTCTGACTCTTTAGAGCGCAGAATCAGTGCTTAAAAAAGCATTACCTTCGATATTCTCAGGATATGATCTAGAAAGGAAAAGGGCTATTAAATTTTTCCCCTCTATTCTTCCACATATGTGTGTTATGTCCTTTGCCTTTCTCTAGTTACACTAATTTGACCAGGCAAGAATGACAGATGGTAATGATATAGGAACTTCTGACATTTTGTATTGCAGATTCAGGGATCAGTTTACTCCATGAAAAATCATCAGAAAAGGAAGAATTATGCCAAAGACTTAAAGAACAACTAGATGCTCTTGAAAAAGAAACTGCATCTAAACTCTCAGAAATGGATTCATTTAACAGTCAGCTGAAGGTACTTATCTTCTATTATATTCATTTCTAAGTAGCTACTTTCCTGCCTCTTATTTTGATTAAATAGATTGAATAAAGCTATTGTTATATATTTGACTTTTTATACCTTTTCTTGGCTTGTAACTTAAAATTCAACTCTATTAGAATTTCAAGATTGTTTTTAGTGTTTTGTAAAACACTGTCAACCTTGTGTCACATAACTAAACATACTTTTTCTCACAGTTTTTGAGAATTAGTTCTATTTTAATTGGAATTTATATGATTGAGAACACTTCCTTTATCAGTATTATCAAACTGATGTCAGCCAACATGATCTCAGGCAATGTAATAAAATATGGAAAAATTTAAATAGTTCTGGTGGTAGAAATTCTTTTAATATGCTAAATAACTTTTTGTTTCTCTTACGATGCAATGCTAATTACCTTTATGAAAGAATGCAATAATCAATGAAATCCAAAGCAGAATATGACACTACTCTTTACTTGAAAAGTTAGGTTCATGTCTTACTGTTTGCTATACTGACAAAGCAGATGTCTAAAGCATACCACATGCTTATCATTGTGTGCAATTCTTAGTTGTATACTGAAGCAGAATCTATGAATGGATATAATAAAACCAGGTTAATGGCAAGTAATTCAAATTTGAGAATAGTCTTATACTTTTGTAAACTGCACATACAATTTCAGAGCATAAGATGTTAAATAGCATTTCTGTAAGAAAAGTGTTTCTTCATATGTTTTTAATCTTCCATCTTACTTAGAATAACATTAATACTAGTAATGAACATTATACTAGTAAGGAACAAATAAGGAACATTATAAAGAAAGGACTAGGATGGCTTCTGTTAAAGACAGGACATTGAAGGGAATAATGTTAATCATATACCTTATAGAAGTATATTTCCTGTAGAGAAACAATTTAAAGTAAGCAAAATCATTTGTTATCAATGATCAAACAAGCCAGCCAAATTATCTTCCTTAACATTATTTTTTTATTTGTACATAGTTTAACTGGCTTTTTATCTGCCTTATCTTACAGTGTGGGAATATGGATGACTCTGTTCTTCAGTGCCTTTTGTCTCTGCTAAGCTGTCTCAACCACCTCTTCCTCTTACTTAAGGTTATTTTCTAATGTCTAGCTTCTTTTTTGAGTTACTTTATGATTTTCTTTTTTTTTTAACTAGACTATTCTTTGCCTTTATCTGAGTATTTTTGTTTGAAATAACAAATATAATAAAGACCTTTTTTTTCTTCTGCTTGTTCTAATATTCTTCTGCTGTCTAATTGCCTGTTAAGTCTAATGCTAGAAATCAGGAAGGTTGCCTTTCTCATAAGCCCATTTGTTTCCCTTACATCATCCCTGAGAATTGGGTTAACCAATGGGATGATTACAAATGCATTTCAAGGAAAAACTGAAACAATGTGAAGTTAAGTCATTTACCCCTAACACTAAAAACCATTGCTTAAAGTGACACTTTCTAAAATCTAAGACAAAGCTATGTCATATTCATATGTGCACCAGACTGCATCCTAATTCTACCATAAGGAAAAGTTGAACCATAATACAGGGGAAGCTTTAATTAGATCTGTTTACCAGGGCTCACTTTTAGATATGTATGCACTTCAGGTAAAAATATTTAAATTATTTGGTTAAACCATTTGGACTGTCATGTATAACACACATATTTAAAGTATTCATATTTTAGGAAGGTGCTTTGTATTAACCACTTGTTTAGTAGATTTTGATTACACATTCTACTCAGTACTAAAATGGGCAGATGCATACATATTCCATAGTAAAGATAGGAATATTCTGATTTGTTACCTAAGCAAAAGTAGGCAGATTAAAAAGATAGAAGTAACATAGTTGCCATGTATAAGCCTTTATGATTATAGTATGACTGGCCAGATTATGTAGTCTTAGAGCTTCTGATACAAAATGCACAAAAACTTAAACCCAAAATTTTATGTCTGTGAAATGAATTTCAATAATGAATTGTGGACTCTACTGGTTATTCCAGTTAATATTTGGTTTTCTGCAGGCCAGCAGACTATTCTCTCTTATTTTACTTTGTTCCCTCTGCTTTTGCTTCCTAATCTTTCATGCTTATTGATTCTTCCATCAAAAGCAATGTAGGAAAGTAAAAGAGTGTGAATTATGACTATCAGAGTAGTTAGGAGACTTGACCTTGTCACAAAAAGCAAGAAAAAAGGGCTTCTATAGTCATGATAGTAAAATGTGGTACAGTGAGCAGTTATCATAGTATTGAAAAATATCAATTAACTTTAGTCAACAAGAGGTCTTTTGAAGCCCTTTTGTGACCTTCAATTGTGTAGTAAGCAGTGTATCAAGAATGGGGATTTAGGAAGGGGGGAAGAAAGCATGAGCTTGAAGGAAAAAAAAATTTGAGTGGGGCTTAAGAAAATCTTGACAAAAACTAAGTAAAAAGGAAAGGAGAAAAGAGAGAAGAGATGGAGATTGGATATAAAAAATGGTGTTCATTGACAGAGTACAGTTCTTGGAGAGGCAGAACCCAGAGCATAGGTTAAAGGATTAAATGGGGGAAAATAAAAGAATACTTGTAACTTGGGGAAAGGTGGATGCACTTAAATCTTTAGCAAGTAAGAAGTCAACTGCTGCAAGTCTTAAAATTGTAAGTAAATGAACTATCAGAAAGAACCTTCCTGCTAGGTTAGAACATAGAACAACTTACTTGAGACAGAAGAGGTGTGCAGATACAAGAAGTTTTACTGGTGAAAAGATAAGGGAGTACCAGGGATGAATGAATTAATGAAACAAGATTTTTAGCTCGTAAAAAGAAGAATGGATGGAATATTAGGTGGTTTCAGGAGAGAGAAGTAGGCATGTTGCAGGTGTTGGGGTGCATGCATGGTAGAGGAAACCAGTAACTATTTTGAGCAATGTTGGGTGCTTATTTGATGTTAGAGGTCAGGAGTTTAAATTGAAGACTGTGTGCCTAATTATATGATTTTCTTTCCCAATAATATTTAGCTGTTCAGATATAAGCACATAAAAAGGTTGGTGAAATAGATTGATGGGTTTATATAGATTCAGAGTTTTAGGAGACATGGGCCAAGAAGAAGGAACAAAGATGTTAAAGATTTAACATAAGAACTATGATAAAAATGAAGTTAGTATTTACTAGACATGAAAGGATACGAGGAGAAGAAATGATGATAAAGAGAAGGGCCAACAGAATGGAAATCTCAGTGAGAAATAAAACTTAAAATAGCTGTACCAGATATAAGAAAAGCTTTAGGGCTTTTTTAGTTAGTTTTTGTTGCTGTTGTTGTTGTTGTTGATCATCTATGAAGATGTCACAGACTTAAAGAATAGTGAAGATGAAGAAATGAGGATCAGGACCTAAGAGACCTAAGTGGTTAATAAATACCAATGAAATGGGGGAGAATAGTATTGCTGGGTAGTTTAAGCCTCAGAAAAACATATTGTACTTGTGAGGGGAAATAATACTTTGGAAATGGCAATGAAGAACAGGGAAAATACTGTAATTGTTCCCTTACCTAATATAAATGAGTATGTAATGATAAACTGAGAGAAAACTAGAAAAGCAGAAACCTTACAGATCAACCAAAAGGGTAAGAAGATAAGAGAATTAACATTCAGAGAAGAGATGTGGATATGTAGTTTCCTGATGAGTGAGAAGAGGTTCTAGGAGTGTAGAGGAATTTAAGGAAAGGATGAGTGAAGAATTACTAGGTCAGATCAAGAAATAAACAGAGATAAGAATTTAGGTGATAGAGAATGATGTGAAAGGCTAGATTGATTAGTAGGTGAGATAGAATTGGTCCTGAGGGTCTTGAATGAGATCAGGAGCTTTGTTCTAATGTTGTGGTTCAATGGCACAATAGTGTATCTGATATGAGTACTCCTTTAGGCTACTTATGGTAACAGTAGTAGTAAAACATTTAAAATTAGTTCTTAAGAAGTTATCTTTTATTAGATTATCTAATACACACACACAAAATTGGTGACAATTTTTACTCTTTTAGTCAAGTCATACTAAGATAAATAGCAAAGCCAGTAAGTTCAAAATTAAGACATTGAACAGGCTATTCTTCATTAAGAATATTTATAGATGATTCCATCTTTAGCAGTGAAGTGCAATGAAAAGTATTCTGTGCCACTCGTCAGTTGTATAACTGCTTGTCATTAACCTCTCTAGTTGTGCAGCTATTTACCATTGCTTTTTCATATTATAAGCTGAAAGTATATGCTGTCTTCTTTTGAACGTTATGATTAAATCAAATAGTGTGCATATACACATATGCACACACAGAAGTGCTTTGTGTGAACTCTCATGTACAATAGAAATACTTTACCTTTTTTTTTTTTTTTTTGGTCAGTGTGGGACTTGAACTCTGGGCCTGGGCACTGTCCCTCAGCTTTTCAGCTCCAGGCTAGCACTCTACCACTTCAGCCACAGCGCCACTTCTGGTTTTCTAGTGGTTTATTGGAGATGAGTCTCACGGACTTTCCTGCCCGGGATGGCTTTGAACTTCGATCCTCAGATCTCAGCCTCCTGAGTAGCTAGGATTACAGGTGTGAGCCACCGGTGCCTGGCTTTGAAATACCTTTAGTGAATTAGAAAATCACTATGGACTTGAGTAATAACTGAGGGAGTACTTTTCTGTAAAGGCAAAGCAGAATCTGTCAACCCCACAGCTGTGGCTTCCTCAAGGGTGTTAGGTAGGTCTTATCCTGTGCTTCCAAGGATTAGAGATAAACTATTTACAGATTCACCTCCAGATGACTAGGGGAGATTTTTTTTCTTTTATAATCCTCTTAATACTTATTTATTTTTATTAGCATACATTAGTTACACAAGAAAGATGTACAAGTTCTACTTGTATCCTGATCATCCTCATTCCTCTCTCCTCCACTTCACCCCCCCTTATTAAAACAATTTCAGCAGGTTTTATTGTTCTATTTTCATGCATGCAAATAAACTACATTGACCAT